CGCAAACTTGTTCTGCATGCACGCCTCGCAGCTACCAACGGAAGCACCATCTCCTTGCAGATGCAGCCCATGCACGCACTTCTCCTTGTGCATCACCTCCAATGTTGAAACAGCCACGTGTGCAAGCCGCCGATGCCAAATCTCCCAATTCCCTTGGCCCGAGGTAGCCGACCCTTTCACAACCGCGCTTCTCTCCTTCCACACCTTGCTGCTCCTCCTCGATGACACTCTCCTCCATAGATGCCGCTGCTGCCGCCTTGCCCGATTTCCACCAAGGGAGGACCGGGATCTGCCACATCAGCTTGTAGACATCCCCTTTTTACTGCAGGTCCCAAATCCGCCGCTCATCGTTGTAGGCACGATAGCGCTCCAAGCCTATCGTCTCGGTGTTCACACCTGCATCTCCCAACCGGCCGGTAGAAATCAGGTTCGCACACAAGTCCGACACCCACATCTCGTTTGTCAGACCCACGAACTCTCCATCCACTCCCATAAACTTGGTGCATCCCATGCCCATAACTCTGGCCTTGGTCCCGTCACGGGTGTGACCGTAGAGATGGATGCAGGCTGAATCTCATCGAGTAAGTCCGCACGAGGAGTCACATGCCAGGAGCTTCCTGAGTCAATCACCCTATGTGTGAGGGGGTGTAGGACAACCTTAGCAGCCATAGGGAGGTCGGTTGTGCCTTCGTTCATGAAGAAGAACACGGCCTTCCGCTCCTCAGATTTGTCACCTTTCTCGTCATCGTTCTCCTCTCCACTAGCTCCCATAACTCCCCCACTCCTCTTGCCACCATGCTGGTTGCTTGACAAAGGTGGGGTCCCATCCTTAGGTCGTTGGTAGCACTTCCGCCAACGATGTTCGCGCTTCTTGAAGTAGAAGCACACCTCCCCTTGACCCCCGCCGCCATCCTCCTTAGGGTTGTACTTGTTCTTGCCGTGCCACTTCTTCTTTAAGCCACTCTTTCAACCTCCAACTCCATAGCCAGCCCCCTCCTGCCACTCTTTCCACCTCCAACTCCATAGCCAGCCCCCTCCTCCAAGTGCTACACACTCCGCCGCCGCAAGTCCTCCTCAAGGATACGCGCACGGATCTAATTTACGCTCCACTTGAGCTGTTGAGAGTTGAGGTTGATCGCTAAGGCAAGCCACGACTCCGGCAGCCGTATCACGATCTCCACGCATTGCACGAGCTCTGGGTACACCACACCGCCGCCTTGGAGCTTGTGAAGATGTCCCGCATCTCATCCAACACCGGTTGCATCGGCTCTCCATCAACGAACTTGATATCGCGCAGCCGCCACAAGAGTAGCACGATGCCGGTAACATGTGTCGGTGAGTGCACATCCAGAAGCTTCCTCCAAGCCTTAGGGCGACACTCTGGATCACGCAAGCATATGTCATTACGCATGGCTGTTGGATTTTATCATCTCTGTGTTCTTCTCCAAGTCTACATGCTTGATCATGCAGGAGAAATCCAGAGCTTTCCAACGATACCAAGATCGGCTTATTCCGATTAAGATTGCCCACCTTACAAGGTTTACAAGATTTGGGAATTCTGTCTCATTTTGAGATAATATCTACATTGGGCGATTATTGGGATATGACTAAAAAGGGATCTTTGGTTTGGTGGTTGGGAAGGCAACTTTGACTTTTTGACTGTGGTGGCTAGAAGTTTCGAGCATCGGTTGCAAATGTTGCAACACCTAGGCAAAATCCAACTAGATTGGATTCTACATGTGACACCTCAAGGACCTCATGATGAGGGTTGCATCCTTGCTGCTAGGAAGGTTCCTACCATCCTTCCCTAACAATTGGAGAACCCCTTCCCTCTCATGGTTCTCTTGGAGTCCCCAACTATCATGTCGTCAATGTAACATGCCACTGCTGGGTTTCCCGCAAGGCCGTACCCATCGTCCGCTGGAATAGGGCCGGTGCGTTCTTCAGGCCAAACGGCATAAACCTCCACTCCCACGGTTCATCGGGTCCATGGCAAGCCATTCTCTTGTGTCCTTGAGTCCGTATCGGGATCTGGTTATATCCCTGCCTCAGATCCAGTGTCGAGAACACTTTTGCCTCCCTTTTATGAAAAATCTCCTCTGTCGACTGCATCAGGTATTGATCCGCCACCATGACCTTATTCAGCCCTCTGTAGTCCCCGCACATCCTCCTTCTTGAGACTTCTCCAGTCAAATTCTTCCTAGATGCTACTACTATTGCAGCTGCGTAGTCATTCTCTGACCATTGAAGGTTGGAATTTTGGTCACTCCACTCTAGTTGCTGCCATGTGGTTGTGTGGTTGGGAGATGCCAAAACAGGTTGGCAAGTGTGGCCAAGTTTGGATGAGGTGGATTGCATGGGTTGGAAAATAACAAGGGTCAAATTTGGGGTTCCTATAGGGAGGAAAATTGTGTGCTTATGTGGTTTCCTTAGTGGGGGACTCCCTTTGGACCTTCTCTCTCGTCCTCCTCATCCCCTCCTACCTAATCCCCTTGTGTGGTTCTTTGTGAACAATTGTTATTGAGTTAAGTTTGAGATCCAGCTTACCCCCTAGTGCACCGAAATTTATAACTCAAGACATACTTCACCTTTTTGTGCGATTCAGATTGAAAGCTGTAGGCGCGGTCTAGTGCTAAAACATATTCGAAATTGGTGATTTTTTTTTTCCATGAAATTTTCGTCGACGGCGTTTCTGGTGAAATCGACATTTCTGTCCAAAATTATAGTCCAACGATGTTGAGTTATTTCGGCCCCTTATCTTCATATGTATCCTTAATACTAACACTCCGCATGCGTGGGAGACTTGGGTATCGTTGCATTCGCTTCCTACGGTGTTAACTTCAGGCACCTGTGCAACCGTCCAGCTCGTCTTGGTCCTATTGCGACCCTCGCCATCCTCCAGATCCAGCATATGCTCCGTCCTTTTTGCCAGCCCGTATACTTCCTTCGGGGTTGTGCCAGCTCTGGTGGCGTACACCGTGTTTCTTCTAAGCCCCTTACAAAATTTCTGCACCAGCAGTTGCTCATCCTTGCTGTCGAGATCTTCAGCCAGCTCTCCAATGTTGCAATAATATGCCAGGAGGGACTCCTCCTTCCGGTGAATTCTTGGAACTCCTCCACCCGCGCCGTAGTCACAACAAACTCCTTCCGCAGCATTTGAACAAATCTCGCCATGGGATTATCTATTTCGCCGCACGCTAGTTCTTCTAGGATCTCGTCTCGCACCCTTCAATATAATGTTTTGGCTTCTTCAGACAGAGTCCCCACCATCTTCCGGAAGAACTCGCACGGATCATATCCGTCTCTTTCCCAGCAGTACTACACGGTCTCTAGCTGCATGAAGTAATTCTTCAAACTCGGCCCCACTCCCTAGATGCCGGTGTATCGCTCCGCCACATCCACCTTCGTCAGGTTCGCAGACTTCCAATGCGCGTCCATCGGCAAATGGTTTCTGTTTCCACTCCCTGACTGCTGCGCTACGCCGCTCGCTACCATTTCTCCTGAGCAAGGAGTCCCTAGGTCTCGAGCTTGTTCCAATGTCCATGGTTCTCCGGATCTTCTCTCTCGCCCATGCATTCCCAACATTCCGATCGGTGGTGTTTTTCCTTATTTGCTCTGCCAACGTGCCCTCGCCTCTTCTGGATATTTCTTATCTTGAGGTGTTTCGCCAAGGTCTGGTGCTACGTTACACTCCTGTTCCATATTTTGCTCCGCCGCTCGCGCTCGTTGCTGCGAGGTCCGGTATGTTGAGAAGACTAGGAAGGTATGTCGATTAGGTAAGGGGAGGGGGTACAAGAGGATCGAGAGAATCGGGTTGTACCCTCTAAGGAATAACCCCTACAAAACCTAGAGAGAAATAACTAAAAGTATATAATTTGACACACCCTCATAGGTGAAGTAGGAGATAGCCAAACCTAACAGTGGCAACAAGACCAGTCAAGCAAGAAAACAAACAAGGCAAAGCTCGTGGTGGATCTCAAGGACACCACACAATCTGAGCACAAACAGGTGGCCACAAGGCCAGTTCACATGCAGTTTTATAGTAGAGCAAGTATTACAATGATTACAACCTAGCAACCAGAAACATGCAGGTTTATATATCAGAGTACAAGACAAAGTCAAGAGGTGAGCAAGCGAGGCCAGGTAGGCACAAGACCTAGCAGAGTACAAAAACGCTGATGATCATAAGGCTGAAGTGCCTTGGTAAAGATATCAGCAGTGTTGGCCCAAACGGCCACGTAAGCAAGACGAAGCTGACCGCACTGCTGCACCTCTCGAGCAAGGCAATAGCGCAGAGCAATGTGCTTCGTTATGTGCTCCAATTAGTGCTCCTGACACAAGGCCAACATGGCCTTGTTGTCGACGTACAGAACTGGAGGAGAACGAGGCACCTCTCCCAAGCCAGTCAGTAGGTAGGTGAGCTAGCGTAACTCCTGTGCAGCCATGGCCCCAACGTAGATCTCTGCCTCGCAACTGGAGCTTAGAACAGAAGACGAGCGGGTAGACCGCCACGAAACAGAGCCAGAACCAAGGCTAAATGTGTAACCCTGTGACGACTGCTGCGTAGCCAAGTCGTCAATCCAAGAAGCGTCTGCATGACCAGTGAGGACAACTCAAGCCCGTCCTCCAAGCACGAGCCCCATGCCTGACGTACTACACAGGTCGCGCAACACCCTCTTAGCTGCATCCATGTGACGCCTAGCGGAGCCCGTAGACTGGCCGCCGGAGGCTCCACTGGGTACCAGGAGGGAACGACCCAGTGAAGCCAGGTGGGCGGCGTAGCCAGATCTCCTCGTGCAGGCTGCCCTGTATGAAAGTTATGCTGAAGTGAAGAGAATGAAGCTCGTAGTCACGCTGAGCAGCGACGTGCAGCAGTATTCAAAGAGTGTTCATCTTTGGGGTTGGAGAGAAGGTCTGAAAGTAGTCAAATCCCTGCCGCTGATTGAAGCGTCGAGCCACGTAGCGCGCCTTGAAGACAGGCGGAGAACCCGGCGGCCGCTTCACCCTGAAAATCCACATGCCATCGACAATGTTGGCCCCAAGTGGGGGAACCTCATCAACGTAGGTGGGGGAAGCCATCTCTGCGTCCATGGCTGTCTGCCACTGAGAGTAGGGATCCTCTATTGCCTCTGCGTAAGAGCGTGGAGTTGGGATGTCTGGTGCATCCAGGTCTCCCTCAGGAGCAAGTAGCATGGACACGAGATGAGGTAAAGGCTCGTATCCCCTGCTGCTGCAACCACCCCACTATCCCTGCCGCTGCCGTCGCCGCCGGTTCTGCCAGCCAAACCAGAACCAGCAGTTACCAAGTTACCAGCGTCATAGGTCTCTAACAGTATGTGCAAAGGCGGGAGCGGCCGGGGCTCAGTAACAGGCGGCAGCCAGAGGTAGTCATCCAAGTCAAGATAGAGCACCCAGTGCGCCGCCATGCGGGACCGATACAAGCAGTCGTGGAGCGCCGGCACCTGCCCGTGGTTCCACAGCTGCTCCCGCTCCAACAGCCCTGCCATCTCCACCAGCTCCGCCCTGCCTTGCCCTGCCTGGGCCGTGCCTTGGCCTGTCTCCGCCCTACCTTGCCCTGCGTGGGCCGTGCCTTGGCCTGTCTCCACCCTGCCTTGCTCTGACTGGGCGTGGATCACGGCCCGCACGGGGTCGGTGGCACCCCCCGCGTTGTAGAGCAGGAAGGAGGTGATGCCGATGAGGCGGTGGTATGAGAGGAACTCGAGGAGGGCGCGCGGGGAGATGGACGGGCCGTGGAGCGGGGGGAGACAGAGGGTGAGGTGGGATGGGAAGGGCGGCGGAAAGGGCGGAGAGGTGGTGGTGGTGGTGGGTGGTGATTTGTCAAAGAGGTGCTGCTCCCTGGTGTGTTATGGGGATGGGATGGGCGAGATGGTGGAAGGGATGATGCAATGGAGAGTCATTTTTGAGAAAGTTCGAGGGAGTGAGTGGTGGAAAATGGATGTGTGAGGTTGGTATCTGGTCTGGAGGTAGAGGAGAAGAGGTAGCTGCGACAGAGGTGGTGGAAGAGAAGGAAAGGAGAGAACGAGTGGAGGATGGGCAGAGAGGAGGGGGGTAGGCAAGGAGGCGAGATAATCGAGTAGAGACGGGAAAGAGAGGAGACAAACGAAGGAAAAAGACGAACCATCACACACCACACCACCTCCCACCACCGCACACCAGCACGCACCTGATGAGGGGAACAGTCATGCCTCCGGCCATAACCGCTGCCACCCTGCCCCCCAACGGCAGCGCCCCCTCCCCCTCCCCCCGTTGCTTCTCCCCCTCCCCAGGCGCAGCGGGTGGGGCAAAGGAGCAGCGCAGCACCACTGTTTCCATGGGGGCCTCCGGGGGGTGTGAGGGGAATACCGTTGAGAGGGCTCCCCTCACTGGAGCGAGGGGGGAACCATCTGGGGGCAGCCAGCTGCGGAGAGGGGGAACAGGGGGGGAGAATGGGGGGAGAATGGGGGAAGGGGAAACAAGTGGGAGGTTGAGGGAGTGGGGGAGAGTGGGGGAGAGCTATGGAAAGGAAGAGGGAACGAGTGTGATTGAGAGGGAGTGAATGCGAGGGAGTGAGTAGGAGTCAGGGGAACGAGGGTGGGGAGAGTGTGAGGTTGAGGTGGACGGAGGGTGTGCAATGGAGGCGAAGTATGGGTGTGAAGATATGACGTTGTAAGCGAGATGGGACAGGAGGGAGAAGGCAGTCCGAGGGAGAAAAGATTACGACGGAGAAGAATTGAGTATGGGGGAGAAGGGAGTATGAGGGAGAAGGGAGTGTGAGGGAGAAGGGAGTGTGAGGGAGAAGGGAGTGTGAGGGAGAAGGAGGTGTGAGGGAGAAGGGAGTGTGAGGGAGAAGGGAGTGTGAGGGAGAAGGGAGTACGAGGGAGAAGGGAGTATGAGGGAGAAGGGAGTGTGAGGGAGAAGGGAGTATGAGGGAGAAGGGAGTGTGAGGGAGAAGGGAGTGGGGAGGTGGATGAGATGAAGAAGTGAAACAAAAACATAGACAGGGCGGGAATGAGGAGGTGGACCCTAGACGGGGGCTGCTTGCGGGTGGTTGAAGAGGGAGAGGAGGTGGCGGGGACATGGTGGAAGGAGAGGAGGTGGCGGGGACATGGTGGAAGGAGAGGAGGTGGCGGGGACATGGTGGAAGGAGAGCAGGTGGCGGGGACATGGTGGAAGGAGAGGAGGTGGCGGGGACATGGTGGAAGGAGAGGAGGTGGCGGGGACATGGTGGAAGGAGAGGAGGTGGCGGGGACATGGTGGAAGGAGAGGAGGTGGCGGGGACATGGTGGAAGGAGAGGAGGTGGCGGGGACATGGTGGAAGGAGAGGAGGTGGCGGGGACATGGTGGAAGGAGAGGAGGTGGCGGGGACATGGTGGAAGGAGAGGAGGTGGCGGGGACATGGTGGAAGGAGAGGAGGTGGCGGGGACATGGTGGAAGGAGAGGAGGTGGCGGGGACATGGTGGAAGGAGAGGAGGTGGCGGGGACATGGTGGAAGGAGAGGAGGTGGCGGGGACATGGTGGAAGGAGAGGAGGTGGCGGGGACATGGTGGAAGGAGAGGAGGTGGCGGGGACATGGTGGAAGGAGAGGAGGTGGCGGGGACATGGTGGAAGGAGAGGAGGTGGCGGGGACATGGTGGAAGGAGAGGAGGTGGCGGGGACATGGTGGAAGGAGAGCAGGTGGCGGGGACATGGTGGAAGGAGAGGAGGTGGCGGGGACATGGTGGAAGGAGAGCAGGTGGCGGGGACATGGTGGAAGGAGAGGAGGTGGCGGGGACATGGTGGAAGGAGAGGAGGTGGCGGGGACATGGTGGAAGGAGAGGAGGTGGCGGGGACATGGTGGAAGGAGAGGAGGTGGCGGGGACATGGTGGAAGGAGAGGAGGTGGCGGGGACATGGTGGAAGGAGAGGAGGTGGCGGGGACATGGTGGAAGGAGAGGAGGTGGCGGGGACATGGTGGAAGGAGAGGAGGTGGCGGGGACATGGTGGAAGGAGAGGAGGTGGCGGGGACATGGTGGAAGGAGAGGAGGTGGCGGGGACATGGTGGAAGGAGAGGAGGTGGCGGGGACATGGTGGAAGGAGAGGAGGTGGCGGGGACATGGTGGAAGGAGAGCAGGTGGCGGGGACATGGTGGAAGGAGAGGAGGTGGCGGGGACATGGTGGAAGGAGAGGAGGTGGCGGGGACATGGTGGAAGGAGAGGAGGTGGCGGGGACATGGTGGAAGGAGAGGAGGTGGCGGGGACATGCTGGAAGGAGAGCAGGTGGCGGGGACATGCTGGAAGGAGAGCAGGTGGCGGGGACATGCTGGAAGGAGAGGAGGTGGCGGGGACATGGTGGAAGGAGAGGAGGTGGCGGGGACATGGTGGAAGGAGAGGAGGTGGCGGGGACATGGTGGAAGGAGAGCAGGTGGCGGGGACATGGTGGAAGGAGAGGAGGTGGCGGGGACATGGTGGAAGGAGAGGAGGTGGCGGGGACATGGTGGAAGGAGAGGAGGTGGCGGGGACATGGTGGAAGGAGAGGAGGTGGCGGGGACATGGTGGAAGGAGAGGAGGTGGCGGGGACATGGTGGAAGGAGAGGAGGTGGCGGGGACATGGTGGAAGGAGAGGAGGTGGCGGGGACATGGTGGAAGGAGAGGAGGTGGCGGGGACATGGTGGAAGGAGACCAGGTGGCGGGGACATGCTGGAAGGAGAGGAGGTGGCGGGGACATGGTGGAAGGAGAGGAGGTGGCGGGGACATGGTGGAAGGAGAGGAGGTGGCGGGGACATGGTGGAAGGAGAGGAGGTGGCGGGGACATGGTGGAAGGAGAGGAGGTGGCGGGGACATGGTGGAAGGAGAGGAGGTGGCGGGGACATGGTGGAAGGAGAGCAGGTGGCGGGGACATGGTGGAAGGAGAGCAGGTGGCGGGGACATGCTGGAAGGAGAGGAGGTGGCGGGGACATGGTGGAAGGAGAGCAGGTGGCGGGGACATGGTGGAAGGAGAGGAGGTGGCGGGGACATGGTGGAAGGAGAGGAGGTGGCGGGGACATGGTGGAAGGAGAGGAGGTGGCGGGGACATGGTGGAAGGAGAGCAGGTGGCGGGGACATGGTGGAAGGAGAGCAGGTGGCGGGGACATGCTGGAAGGAGAGGAGGTGGCGGGGACATGGTGGAAGGAGAGCAGGTGGCGGGGACATGCTGGAAGGAGAGGAGGTGGCGGGGACATGGTGGAAGGAGAGCAGGTGGCGGGGACATGCTGGAAGGAGAGGAGGTGGCGGGGACATGGTGGAAGGAGAGCAGGTGGCGGGGACATGCTGGAAGGAGAGCAGGTGGCGGGGACATGCTGGAAGGAGAGCAGGTGGCGGGGACATGCTGGAAGGAGAGCAGGTGGCGGGGACATGCTGGAAGGAGAGCAGGTGGCGGGGACATGCTGGAAGGAGAGCAGGTGGCGGGGACATGGTGGAAGGAGAGCAGGTGGCGGGGACATGCTGGAAGGAGAGCAGGTGGCGGGGACATGCTGGAAGGAGAGCAGGTGGCGGGGACATGCTGGAAGGAGAGCAGGTGGCGGGGACATGCTGGAAGGAGAGCAGGTGGCGGGGACATGCTGGAAGGAGAGCAGGTGGCGGGGACATGCTGGAAGGAGAGCAGGTGGCGGGGACATGCTGGAAGGAGAGCAGGTGGCGGGGACATGCTGGAAGGAGAGCAGGTGGCGGGGACATGCTGGAAGGAGAGCAGGTGGCGGGGACATGCTGGAAGGAGAGCAGGTGGCGGGGACATGCTGGAAGGAGAGCAGGTGGCGGGGACATGCTGGAAGGAGAGCAGGTGGCGGGGACATGCTGGAAGGAGAGCAGGTGGCGGGGACATGCTGGAAGGAGAGCAGGTGGCGGGGACATGCTGGAAGGAGAGCAGGTGGCGGGGACATGCTGGAAGGAGAGCAGGTGGCGGGGACATGCTGGAAGGAGAGCAGGTGGCGGGGACATGCTGGAAGGAGAGCAGGTGGCGGGGACATGCTGGAAGGAGAGCAGGTGGCGGGGACATGCTGGAAGGAGAGCAGGTGGCGGGGACATGCTGGAAGGAGAGCAGGTGGCGGGGACATGCTGGAAGGAGAGCAGGTGGCGGGGACATGCTGGAAGGAGAGCAGGTGGCGGGGACATGCTGGAAGGAGAGCAGGTGGCGGGGACATGCTGGAAGGAGAGCAGGTGGCGGGGACATGCTGGAAGGAGAGCAGGTGGCGGGGACATGCTGGAAGGAGAGCAGGTGGCGGGGACATGCTGGAAGGAGAGCAGGTGGCGGGGACATGCTGGAAGGAGAGCAGGTGGCGGGGACATGCTGGAAGGAGAGCAGGTGGCGGGGACATGCTGGAAGGAGAGCAGGTGGCGGGGACATGCTGGAAGGAGAGCAGGTGGCGGGGACATGCTGGAAGGAGAGCAGGTGGCGGGGACATGCTGGAAGGAGAGCAGGTGGCGGGGACATGCTGGAAGGAGAGCAGGTGGCGGGGACATGCTGGAAGGAGAGCAGGTGGCGGGGACATGCTGGAAGGAGAGCAGGTGGCGGGGACATGCTGGAAGGAGAGCAGGTGGCGGGGACATGCTGGAAGGAGAGCAGGTGGCGGGGACATGCTGGAAGGAGAGCAGGTGGCGGGGACATGCTGGAAGGAGAGCAGGTGGCGGGGACATGCTGGAAGGAGAGCAGGTGGCGGGGACATGCTGGAAGGAGAGCAGGTGGCGGGGACATGCTGGAAGGAGAGCAGGTGGCGGGGACATGCTGGAAGGAGAGCAGGTGGCGGGGACATGCTGGAAGGAGAGCAGGTGGCGGGGACATGCTGGAAGGAGAGCAGGTGGCGGGGACATGCTGGAAGGAGAGCAGGTGGCGGGGACATGCTGGAAGGAGAGCAGGTGGCGGGGACATGCTGGAAGGAGAGCAGGTGGCGGGGACATGCTGGAAGGAGAGCAGGTGGCGGGGACATGCTGGAAGGAGAGCAGGTGGCGGGGACATGCTGGAAGGAGAGCAGGTGGCGGGGACATGCTGGAAGGAGAGCAGGTGGCGGGGACATGCTGGAAGGAGAGCAGGTGGCGGGGACATGCTGGAAGGAGAGCAGGTGGCGGGGACATGCTGGAAGGAGAGCAGGTGGCGGGGACATGCTGGAAGGAGAGCAGGTGGCGGGGACATGCTGGAAGGAGAGCAGGTGGCGGGGACACCGTGGAAGGAGAGCAGGTGGCGGGGACACGGTGGAAGGAGAGCAGGTGGCGGGGACACGGTGGAAGGAGAGCAGGTGGCGGGGACACGGTGGAAGGAGAGCAGGTGGCGGGGACATGGTGGAAGGAGAGCAGGTGGCGGGGACATGCTGGAAGGAGAGCAGGTGGCGGGGACATGCTGGAAGGAGAGGAGGTGGCGGGGACATGAGGAGTGCAATGAGATTGGGAGCGGTGGAGCTCATCGGAGTGCTAGAGTATAGTTGAACGAGTGAGAGGAGGCTGCTCTTGAGGGGCTTCATTAGGTGGTGATTAGAGTTAGAGTGGAATGGAGTGGAGCGGAGTGGAGAGGAGTGGAGCATACCTAAAGCGAACAAACTTGTAGCTTGATGGTGTAGAGTACTCTCGGAATGGTGTGTATTCTGAGATATGCCACCATTCACCCATGCACCCATGCACCGATGCACATGTGCACATGTGCGCGCGCGCACACACACACACACACACACACACACACCCACACCCACGCACACCGCACATGAAGGGGAAAAGGCAAGTTATTTAAAAGAACAAGGGGAGAAGCAAAACAAAATACAACTACTGACCAACTCATCAAAATGCAAGCAACTTGTTTGTTCTTAGGTGACTCAAATGCTCCCACAAATCCCCACAGCCAAACCTATTCCTCCTCCTCCTCACCTTCGTCTCGTCCAATCAGCTCCAAGTCTTCACCCCGCGCCTCTCTAACCATGCCTCCCTCCTCCTTTACCCCTCTCTGCTCCTCCCCTCCCGCACCTCCATCCTGCTCCTGCTGCCCTTGTCCCCCTTCCTGGTGTCCCTGCCCCCCTTCCTCCTGCTGCTGCCGCTGTAACTCCTCCTCCTCACGACCCTCGTGCTCCTGCTCCTTCCCTTCCCCCTCCCCCTGCCCCTCCGCTTCCCCCTATCCATGCTCCTCCCCTTCCTGCTGCTTCTGCTGCTGTTGCTCCCCCCTTGTCCCCACTGCTCTACCCTCAGTAGCAGCACTAGTGGTGCGGGAAGCAGTGGAAACAGCAGCAGTAGAGGCGGTGCTGGCATGGGAAGCGTGGGCAGCACGGGTAGCAGCAACGTCCTGTTGCAGCTGCTGCACGCGCGCCTTGAGCCCATCTATGATCGCCCGTTGCAGCCGTAACTGCGGGGAGCAAAAGAGAGGGGGAGAGAGAGGGGGGATAGGGAGAAAAAGGGGGTTGTGCATGGCAGTGGTGGTGCCGGTGGCACGAGCAGAAGCAACCTCCTGCTGCAAGAGATGGGCGAAAGGGAAAGGAGAGAGAGGGGAGATAAGGGGAAGTTGGGCGGTGGCAGCAGTGGTGACGGGGGCAGCACGGGCAGTAGCAACGTCCTGTTGCAGCTGCTGCACGCGCGCCTTAAGCCCATCTATGATCGCCCGCTGCAGCCGTAACTGCGGGGTGCGAGGGGGTCCCACAGGGGGAGATGGGAGGAGGTAGGGGAAATTGGGGGGAAATGGGGTTAGATGGATGGAAAGGGGGAGAGGGAGGGGGGGGAGTGGGTGGAAATGGTAGAGATGAGTGAAAAGGAGGACAGAGAGAGGGGGGAGGCGGGTGCGGAGGGGGGGACGATTGTGCAGCAGGCTTATAACGGAGCAATAGGGAGGAGTCATGCTTGCACCCCATGCTCTGCACGCCTGCCACTCCATTCCATGCACTCAGCGCACCCCATTCCATTCCATGCACTCAGCGCACCCCATACTCGCCTCTCAGCCCGCCATCCTTGACTCGACGCACTGCCTCAAGCTGAAGTCTCTGGCTTCTGACTGGTAACCCGGAAACCTGATAGTTTCTTGTGTAGAATATGCTCGTTCTCGGTTCTTCTCAGAAAAGGCGAAGCTGTCAAAACAATCTGCTGCATTGCTTCTCAGAAAAAGCTGCTCTCCTCAAGATGCCCCACCCACCTGGCGTCAACCTCGTATCGCATGTCTCGTCCCTCTTATGGCTCTCTTTGTTTCTCTCTATAGCAACAAAACTCCATGCCATCTCACAGCGCCCCCGGAACAACTCACTCAATGCCTCTTGCCCTGCATGCACACTACATGTATCGTTTCTACAAACAAAAAGCCTTCCCACCCACCCCCTCTCCTCTCCATGCCTCATGTCGCCCTTCCAACCGCACCCCGCCCCTCTCCATTCCTCTTGCGGACTGGCATCGCCCCATCTTATCTCACTTGTCGGCCTGCCTGCCGCCCCATCTTCCCTGCTTGCGCCGCTATCTCCCCGGCCTCCACCACCAATTGCCTTCTCTCACCTTCCCCAGCTCCCCCTCCCCCACCCCCTCCCTCTCCCACTCCCCTTCCGCCTCCGCCTCCCCCTCCCCCTCCCGCTCCCTCTCCCCCGCCCCCTCCCCCGCCCCCCAGCGCGCCAATCTCCCGCGCCACCACCTCCCGCTCGCGCCCGTTCGCCAGGCGCCCCAGCGCGCCCTCGAGCGCCTCCGTGCGCTTCAGCAGCGCGCCGAGCAGCTGCACCTGTTGCTGCGCGCGCTCCGCCAGCTCCGACACCGCGCCCGCCTGCGCGCGCACCTGCTGCGCCAGCTGCGCCTCGCTGCTCGCCAGGCTGGCGGAAGCGGGGACGCGGGGTGGGGGATGTGGGGAAGACAAGAGGGGAAGAGGGGAAAATGGGGAGAGAGGGAAGGGGGAGAGGGGAGGGCGAAAGCGAAGGGGGGGAGTGGAGGGAGAGAGGGGAGGGGAAGAGAGGAAGGCGTTAGGCGGGCAGGCGGATAGCAGGTATGATATTGAGGTTGATTGTAGCTGGTTTTTTAGAATTCTAAAAAATCAGCTTGATTGTGTGGTGTGGTGTGGTGTGGTGTGCCAAGGGATAAAGAGAAGGTGCGAAGCGCGGAGGCACGGATTACCTTGTAATAAAAGGCGCCAGGTCATCCTTCTTAAAGTCCCTCATGTGTGACGTGTTCTGGTGGCGCCAAGGGGGGGGGAGGGGGGGGACAGGTGGAATGCGGTAGAGGTAGGTGAAATGCGGTACAGGCAGAGGGACGAGTACGAGCGAGAGGCGTCACACACAGATGGGGAAGGGGACGAGGGGGATGGTGAGAAGGGGAAGGAGGGGGAAATGTTGGGATCGGGGGAAAGCGAGGGGGAAGAAAAGGCGAGACTGCGGAGACTGAGAGCTTGACAACGGAAGGGTTTGGGTGTTCGGGGAGGGGTTTAAGTGCGCGCTCCTTCCCCTTCCACTCTTCGCTATCCCTTACCCCTACCTACCACTCCAACTCCCCCCACAACCACCCTTCCCTTCCCTGACTTCTTCCACCCAACATACTCCCCCTGCTCTACCCTCTCACCCCTCCCCCCAATGACCCTTTCCCAATCACAGCCTTCCCCCCACCCTCTTCCCAGCCCCAATTCTCCCCCCATTATCCCCCCCCCTTCCCCCTTTCCCCTTCCCCCTCCCCCCCAGTCGCACCAGGAGGCTGATGAGCGCAACCACCATCAGCCCCGCAACCCACATCTTCCGACTCCCCTTCAGCGGGTCTCCGCCTCCCCACAACCCGCTTGCGCCTCCGCCCCCGGCCCCCCCTCCGCGCCGCATCAGCGCCCCGCCCATTGTCCCTGCCCCGCTTCCCCCAGCCGCTCTGCCTCCGCTAATTCCCCCGCCGCTCGCTCCGCCGCACCAGACGGTGAGCGCATCGACGACATCGATCGAGCACTCCAGCGTTCGTCTCTGCACCGCCTTCGCCGCCGCGATTGCCGCTACGGCAATTTCTGATGCCTCCCGAAGCACTGGCGGCGTTGGTGCTGCGGCAAGGCCTGCGGCGCGAGTTCCCCTATCACGCGACTCGAGTCCGCCATTCATCATTATCGCCGCAGGGGCGTGGCTCGTCGGCAATTCCTGGGTTTCGTACTCCCCTTTAATGTCGTTCATTCCATTGACTCCGTTGACATCGATAAACGCGGCGCCGTTCGCGGTGGGTTCGGGCGACGCGGCTCGGCCGTTGAAGATGGGCGCTGAAAGGTTCGGCGAGCTGCGACTCAAAGCTGCGAGGGCGGAGAAGGAGAAGGAGGAGGAGGAGGAGGAGGAGGAGGAGGAGGCGAGGTCAGATGCGAGAGTAGCGGGATTCGCGGACGAGGCGAGCCTATCGCGAGGCGGAGAGGAATCTCCCGATGACAAGAGCTGGGTATAATTCACAAATCTGCCGCTTGAAGCGAGGTCGCTACTATTGCTGCTGCCGCTGCCAGGCGGTCTGAGCCTCTCGCGAAGGTCCCTCTCTCCCGACATGCTCCACGCCGTTAATTGTGGCGACGAAGTCTGCGGATGAATTACGGTGTCCTAAGCCGCTCATCGCAAAAAAGGGAAGTTCAAAAAGTCACTCAGAATACACTCTGCCGCAACTTCCTCGATAACTTCTGCCCGGCACTTTCAAGTCAAGGTTTTAGAACTGCATAGCATCTGTAACTGACAAACCAGCTACCCAGTCACTATTCCACTGCATTCTGTACACATGCGTGTATCGAATCGGATACTACACCTGCTACGTTGTCGTTGCAAAACCGTTACAATGAACACCACATGAAAGCTTACCAAACCTAACCTTTCCAACCGACTAGAAAGTTGCAACTACACAACCCCAACTGCCATCCGTACTCGACAACACACGTGGCATCCAGTATCAACCCGATGGTCCACGTAAACGTTCACCCATCAAAACGTACCCTCACCCCATCCGTTAGATTTACCGTTTGTTTACGCAATCTACACGGTTTACGTGTCGCCCTGTCAGCTACTCACACATCATGTTACTCCTTCGGGAGCACCACCTCGCGACTACTCGCTGACACATCGCACTCGCATCTTCTCCGTCCATCTTCTCATCAATCAGCCCGTAAATACGTGACGCTTGGAACCAGCCCACCGGTGCTCACGTCGCAACTCTCGTGTACGAGACCCACCAGCTTTTTAACACTTGGCATCCATCGGAGGGCGCATCATGCCTTTCCTCCCTATCCAACATTGCACCCTCGTCGTACAAATGTCGCACCGCCACATTCTCGTTTACTTCGCCATATTTCTTGGCACCCAATCGTTATGCTCACGATACATGTTTGCGACTCCATTCTCACCGTCCATCTACACACATAGTCTGCAAATCCCTGCTGCCACGTTGTTCTCACAGCCGCGATCTACCCCGTTCACTTGCCTTCGGATCGTCCACTCGCACATTTAGTAACCATCCATCCATCTCCTCGCCATAAGCCTTCGCTCCATGTGCGTGAAATAATATTAACCGTACACCTGTCGCGTCCTCACCGAATATCAACACGATCTCCCAACCAGTACGCCATCACTCCTACACGTAATTTTGATAGTTCTAACGTACACCAGAGTGACACGCGTAGTTTTGTCCGTGCGTGTCAAATTGGGCATAGGTTCCACAATAATGCGTATCCATGATGATATCCAATCGGAACGCCTCACGCCCGCACTATTGTCACGGGCACGTCCTACCCAGTCGCGAGATATGGAACCCACCGCGACTCGCGCAGCCAAATGCGGTGCACTATTAGTCTGCCCGCACACCTGGTTCCGTCCTGCATTTCGCATTGTACATCATCCTCTACTTGCCTGTGTTATCTCGAACATCAATTACCCCAAACGACTTCTCCCATTCATAACACGGTCGCACATAATGAGTACCACAACTCCTAACAACACCCGTCCTCTTCAACGCTTAATCACACACATGCAACCCCCTTACCCCACATATCCAAACTTCCAACACCGCACAAATAGCCCTCTTCTACGCATCTCTTCAGCTGTCCCTGCAACCGTTCACCACCAACATCCTCTATTGACGGTCTACTCATCACCAAGTGACGCCGAAAGGTCGTCATCCTCTACGATGCCTTGCAGCTCGGTGGCGGCCGTGGGCTTCATGTGCTCCGGGCCGCACGCAGAGATGCACAGGCCATGGCGCCCCCAAATCCACGCTTCGCGCTCCGCGTCATACTCGGGGTTGCGGATACGGATCGCCCTCTCCACGGCCTCCTTGACCAGGACCTTGAGCCCATCCACCACGTGGGCGTTCCCGCCCGCCGAGTTGGAGAGCCGGCCTTTCCGCGCCTCCCAGTAGAGGACGCAGTCAGAGACCTGCGCCCAACACAAAAAGCGTCACTCCATGCATTTTCAGTAGGATGCATACCCCTTCAACCCTCGCGCGCACACACTCACCACATGCTCCAACCAGGCTAGGTGGTACACCTTAAGGGTCATCACCAGCCCTGCCTTCTTCGGCTTGAAGGCAGCCTTCGCACATGTCGCGAACGCCCAAGAGGCAAACGGCATGCCATCCCTGTCGTGCGCCCAGCTGGTCAGCACTGGAGTTTCTGCACACCACATCCGAAGCGTGGGTATCAATGTCCACAATTCTCGCATCGGTGCATGTCTACAAACGGTCGACGACTCCAACGGTCGTCTCATGCACTCACCAGGGGGGTCAGCGCCAAGCCCAATGCGCTCCCTTATCTTGTCGATACTACGCTCCATTTCAAGTGCCCATGGGCTGGATGCGTCCCTGTCGTCCCGGAACACGCCGAGCTTGGGAAGTGCAATGTCTCGCATGCGAGCGGCAGCCCTTGTCTTCCACTCCGACAGCGTCTTGTTGAGATCCGCCCGTCGCGACTTGTCAGCCGCCAACGCCAAACAGGCGAAGCTGTGAGGCAGGCGGTCCAGCACCGCGCACACTCCGTGAGTCTTATCGTCGCTGCTCGGGTAGAAGGTCATCGACGACGTGGGCCTATTGAGAAACAAGTGAACTCTGGCCAGCTCGCACACCCGCTGCGCATCCATAGTATACACCATCACCAACATCAGCATTCACCATGTACCATCAACGTGTACAGACTGCAACCCATTCTGGACGGGAAGTTACTCAACCAAGATGGAAACATGCCCGCTCACCTTCCACGCCTTGTCTGTCGGCAGATGCGCCAACGCGCGTTGCAGAATAGGAGACTTTGCAATACGCATATGACGACCACCAGAACCATGCGTATCTTCCTCGTCGTCCTCTCCGTCATCGTCGGACTCGCCGCTCCATGTCTCGCCACGCTTACGCTTCGGGTTCATGAACCCCTGCTCCGGGTCTCTCTGCTTCCGAGCCTTACGCTTACGAGATCCACCAGAATGCTCCGCCATTGCATTCAAAAACAGCGCCTCCAACCACGCGTTCTCCTTGGCGCTCCTGTCCTGAGCCCGGATGAGTTGCTCTAGAATACGGCTCGAGATGCGCACGTCATGGCCGTCGGTGTCCACTGGGATCCCGCATGCGCGGTGCACATGCCCGTCCACATGTCCTCGGCCTTTCGCCCTGATACACATCCGTCTCCCCCGCGCCCCGACTTTCGCGCCCGTCTGCTTTGGGTGAAGCGGTTCCCGCACACCCATCGTCGGCCGTCTACCCTCCAGTGGCAGGTTCGCCGGATTCTTCGGGTGAGGCTGAGGCCGATGTGTCTGAGTCTGCCTCGCCATCCTCTTCATTGCGCTCGGACGATGAAGCACTCTCTGCACCAGTGCCGCCATCTGCGATGACACAGAGGCTCCAGACAAGCACGGTACCACATGTCAGCTATACTTGTTGGGCACTGGGATTCATACGTATATACAATGCGAACAGCCGCATGAGTACAACGAGTCACTCATCAACGCTCTTTCTGCATACCTTGCTCATGCTGTACCACCTCGTCTCCCTTCTTGGTCACGCTCAGATGCTTAGGCAGTGTCGGCCCGCGTTTCCCGTTAGACAGCCGACCGCGCGGCAATATCAGCTGATACGACGCTCGCTGGTACGCCGGCGGGTTGTCAAAATTATATTTATTATAACTGCATGAAGTTCTAGCTGTAGTGTAGTTATTAAATTTGTAGGTGGTGCACCCCTTCATGTGTTCCTTTGCTATATGTATCTCGAATCCTATAGTGCAACCCATTCTCCAATTTTCCTCTCAACTCACTCGACACTCACCCTAGGTGAAAACCCGCTCGATACCTAGTTAAGGGCCTAGGCTACTAAGCCTAGGCCCCTCACCTTTCAACTTAATCTACTTTAAGTTCGACATGTTATCGGAGCTGTTTTCGTCCTGGCCTGTGGGCCCGCGTTACTCTTCCGCTGCTGAGATTTTCCGGTCGCGCGCCTAGGGCGCGTGACGATTTTAGTTTTACATTGTCCCGCCCACGGGCGTGTGACTCCTACCCTGCCCGTCGCGCGCCCCGTGGCACGCGACGGTGCCCTTTATCTGCCCATCGTGCGCCCCGTGGCACACGATGGTGCCCTGCTCGTCGTGTGCCCCGAGGCACACGATCGGGCCCTTTTATCCTATCCGTCGTGCGCCCCGTGGCACTGGCCCGCGACGGGCCTCTCCGCCCCTGCACTCCCTGCTGCCACCCCCGACCCATCTGCACCGACGCCTCTTCGCCGCTCTGCGGCTTTCTTCCTTCCCACCCCCCCCTTTCTCTTGTCTCCCTGCAGCCGTGGGGAGGAGGGTATGGGGGTGGAGGGTGTTGGAGCGGTGGGTCAACTCTCTCCCTTCCCCTCCTCCTTCTTTCAGTCCCACCACTGCAGCTGCTGCTGGGGGGGGAGGGTGTGAGGATGTGGGTGAGCAGGGGGAGTGGTACCGGGGTGGCGGGTGTGAGGCAACAAGCAGCCGTCTCTCCACCTCTCCTCTCTCCCCCCTTTCTCTGCTGCTTCTGCAGCAGTGTGGGGGAGGGGAAGGAGGAGGGTGAGGAGATGGAGGGGGTAACCTTTCAAAGTTAGCCCGCCTGCAGTACCTGCTGTTGCTTGTTTTATTGCTCGTTGGTGTACCTCTGCAGGTTGTGCTCGACACTTAGCTATTCCTGCATGCAGTTACGGGGGGATGTCAAAATTATATTTATTATAACTGCATGAAGTTCTAGCTGTAGTGTAGTTATTAAATTTGTAGGTGGTGCACCCCTTCATGTGTTCCTTTGCTATATGTATCTCGAATCCTATAGTGCAACCCATTCTCCAATTTTCCTCTCAACTCACTCGACACTCACCCTAGGTGAAAACCCGCTCGATACCTAGTTAAGGGCCTAGGCTACTAAGCCTAGGCCCCTCACCTTTCAACTTAATCTACTTTAAGTTCGACACGGGTTAGATACACGACGGGCGCGCCCTACCGTCAGAGTATCCTTTGAAGCAAGCGAAGTATCCATTGTAGCAACAATAGTATCCAGTGATGTAGTCACAGAATGACGGGCGGTTCTATACTTATACATATACCCCAACTTCTTACCACACCTGACGCCCATCATGGGCAGTGAGTTAGGTGGGCAATACGACTTCGTGTCTATTTGGATGACCGCAATCCGAAACGGCTAATACATGCACACCACGTCATCCGCCGCCATGTACATGTGTGCACACATAAACCACACAACCGTATCGGTGGAACTCGTTTGTGCGTACATCTTGTCTCACGAAAGTGTTCACTCTGCACGTTGTTGACGTACATCCTTTCATTATACATGTCTCCAATTTCTCGTTACACTACCACACAATGTACCAAACATTTGACCACCATAGTGTAAGCAATAGCCTTCGCACCCATCACTTACGAATACCAGCAGAAAATCTAACGCCCTGCACATCTCCCACAGAATTACTCGAAAACGATACCGCACAATTGCATTCATGTGTACGTCTATGCATCTACACCAACTACGCAGGATGTTCTGCCAACATCTCATGTGCAGCAGACTCTTCGACACCCTCCTCGGCTTCCTTGTGCCGAGCACACCCGCTGCTACCGTTGTGCACAGGGGCCGTTCCCCCACTCTCAGCATTGTCAGGGTCGTCTGGTTCGTTGGCCGCCTTGTTTCTATCCACCACCCTCTGCCTCTTTGACGTGCGCGTGGCAACCACTCGCTTCCTCCCTCGTTTCATCTTCCAGTTCACGCCCTCCCTCGCCTCCCGCCAGCTCCGCCACCTCCACCACTTCCGCGCTTCCACCAGGAGCTACAGATCTTCCTTGGTGCATCCACGCAGCATCGCCTTCTCTGCGGCTGACAAACTGACCGTGTTGGGTATCTTGTCTCGTGGCCTCAGGACGAACGCACCTGCGGCGTACGCATACGCCGCCTCCTCCTCCGATATGTATGCACCCAGCCGCTGTTGCCTACGCTTTCCTCCTTCTTTGATCAGGATCTTCACGCCGAACTTGCCTGATGCTTTCTCCAACTTCACTCCTGTGTACTTCGTTGCACACGTGTCGTCACCATCCTCTTCGTCCTCCGTGTCTGACACGAGATCCTCCTCTTCTTTTGCCTTCACCGTCTCGTGGCCGCTCGTATCTCCCTACGCATCAGCTCCAGCCGGCACCGTCACCCCAAGCAGCGGTCTCCTATGGGTGAACATCCAGTGAGGTATGGTCCCTCCCGACAGCAGCGGGTTTTGCAGCAAGCGTGCTGTCGGATCACGTGCAGCGAACGAGGAGGCCAGCGCAACACGGGTGGCATTGCGTACGACATCCTCCTCTGGACTGCTGTCAACAAGCCTTTTGCGCCCGGATGGACGCTGTGGAGTGTGTGGGGCATTCTTGGTGCCACCTGCCTCTGCTTTCGCGCCGGATCTCACGGGGTTACCTTGCATCAGTAGTTGGGTTGCAGCGGACACCACCTCCTGGCGCCTCAATCCCACAAAATTGGATATGACGGTGAAGCTCGCGTCCAGGAACATCACATCGTTTTTCATAGTCGCAATTTCCCTCATCATCGCCGTAACACGTGCGTCATCCCCGGCTTGACTGACCGGTGCTTGCCTCACATCTTCGATACCACCGTTCCTCTCCCGCACTACTGCCCCCCCCTCTGTTACCCGGCCTGCGTCCTTCGGGGGAATTTTGATCCCCAGCACTTCCAACTGCTGAATGAGATCTCCGGTCGCGTGCGCGCACAAGTCGCGCCGCATCTCCTGCCGGTATTGGTGCAGCGTCATTCCTGAAACCAGAGCCCGCTCAATAGCGTGGTGAAGTCGGACATCACCAGGGTCTTCAGGTACTGGCAAACAAAAATCCCACAGTCCTGCTTGTTCGGCTACTGTGGCAGCTTATCCTCCTGCACTTCGACAAACGCACACTACAGTTAGCAATCCGTCTATCCTCGTAAACATTGTGCACACAGGTATGCGCATTCACTGGTACCCTCACCCGTAATATGATGCACTCCGCATCCAATAGGAGCTTGTCAACAAGCTCCATGTTCGCGTCGGGGTTGCTCGCCTTCGCGAGTTCGGACAGCACTCTGCACGTTACAGGCCGAAATCGTTAAAACAAGTTATGCATCAGCTACCAGCGACATGCAACGTCGACAGTGAACCCCATACTCACAGCTTGGTGCCTGCAAAAATCATGCGGGTGTTCCTTGTCTTTATGCTACTGTCCAGCAAGACCAACTTCATTCGCTCTTTGCCTTCGGATTTCGCAGACTTGGTAAGCACCGATGGAGATACAGCGATGACGAGCGAGTAGTGCTCCCTACGCTCAACATGAGAGGGTATGTTGGGATTAGGGTTAGTCAACCATCGGTGTCATGCTAAAGAATCCACTCACGAACCGAATACTTGTGATACGTACCCCTCTAGCACAGGGATCGCGAGATAGTCGTGCTGCAGTAGAGGAAGCCCGTTCCCCAGCGTCAAAGGCGCACCATACGAGTTCGTCTGGAAGTACGCCTTGCAGTCCAAGGCAGCCCATGTTTTCCCGTCACGGAGAGTCGGCTTCCGGATGCTAAGCAGCCTGCACAGGTAATGAACAAGAAATAACAAAGCGTATTAGATGTTGCCCATACATCAGATACTACGCAAAAAAGCGTCAACCAGGTGACCTCAGTGAAGATACTTACACGTTGTGAAAGTCTAGCACACCATCAGTGATCCACTGATCATCCTCGATCGACATGAGGTCGTCCTTATACACCTCGCACCCGACGCCGCGGTGATTTATAAGCGTCATGTTTGTGTACGAAGACTTCATGTAATTCCGTGCGACGAGGGACACCAAATCTTCCCGCACCTGCTCCCGCGCCGTATCCTCCTTAGTCGTAGCAAACTTCATGGCCCTTCCGGAGGCCTTAGTTGGCGGGATCGGCCCTGGATTCTTCATGTTAGACTCTGCATTTTTCGACGACCTGGTTCTGCACGTCGGCAGGGCAGGATCTTGGTCGTCGGAGCCGCTGCTAGTTTCGGGTTCATAGAACCTGTTGCGCTTAGATGTCAACTGCTTAGGTTTCGCCATCTCTATCTATCAACGACTAGAATACAAACTACCCTGGCTTATGAAGACGCGAGCAGGTAGGGTTGGCAGGAGGAACACATTTACGGGGAGCGCAAGCCTTGAGGATACTATGGAAAATGAAGGAGATAGAAAGGCGTAACCCTCTAGGATCATGCACATCTGGTGTGACCGTCGTGTAGAGCTACATAGATGTACACCGTTAGCGCAAGCGTGCATGCGGTGGCCAGGTGTGATGCGACCACTCGAGGGGATGTGATGGTTCAGCGCCATGCA